GAAATTATTTTAGCAGCCGATGACTATCAAAGTACAACATTGTTTACGTTCAATATTAGTGATAATGTTGTTTTGAAGTCATACTTAAATGCGATTTCAGACCTTAAGTTAGCCTGGTAAACAATAAAAACCGTAAATGAACGAATGTGCCAATATAAACTTTACCTCAATGCCCAACTGCTGATCTGGATGCTCGTCAGGGTGTAAATACTCAAAATTATATCATTAAAATTACTCAAGTCGAATGAAGGACACTGTATGGCAAGCCGAAATAGCATTTAAAGTTTCCACGTGAAGTCAAAATTACCTTTAAGTGAATAATTAATTAAATAAATAATTAATCCGTGTACGTTAATCCAATAATTGTTTAATTAGAGTCTGACCGTAACGGAGTGGAGTAACGGTGGAGTAACGGTCGTTCTGTTGACGTCACCTTGATGGCTTCCATAGCAACTGCATAGCAACATTCTTAACCACATCCCTCTTGACGTTAAAGCCCGATTTTAAGGCTGATTAATAACTTTGGCTTTGTCCGCAACCGCATACTTCCATACTGTATAGTATGCTAAAATGCAATATTCGGCAAGCTACTCGAAAAAATGTAGTGAACTAAACTATTAGCTTCTCTACTTAAAAAATAATTAAAATGCTACAGTAATTCATAGTAAAGGGAAACACTTAATGTTATCAATAACTATTGTGTGTGTGTGTTTACAACTCTTTATTAATGATTTACACTACAAAATGTAGTAATAACTATAATGAACGAACAGTAATTACCATAGAAACTTTAGATTTTACTACAGTACAGTAAACTATATACAAATAAATCTGTGGTCTTTCAATCAAGCAAGTTTCTCGTGTCAGCCCTGCTATTTATGCTTGCAATACAGTGCCTTTCATACCACTTAATGATATAATGTTGAGAATTTACCCTGTGGTGAGCATCCAGATCAACACTGAGGTAAAGTTTATATCCACACATTTGTTCATTTTACCGGTCCCTATATTGTTTACCATGATAACTTAAATATTCTGTCGGAAATCGCCGGTAATTGTGACTTAACAACATCAGCACTATGAAATTGACTGTAAACAATGATGTACTTTAACAGTCATTAGTTGCTAATATGATTTCCTTATTTAGAATTTGCAAAGAGGTCGGCGCCAATAGCTAGTGCGTCAACACATAACACCAAGGTGCTAAAGACGACCAGAGTTGATTCCTGGCTCGAGGTCCTTTGCCGATCCCTCCCCCATCTCTGCTCCCCACACTTTCCTGTCTGTACATCTCTACTGTCCTATCAATAAAGGTGAAAACCCCTAAAAAATAATTATTAAAAAAAAGAATTTGTAAAGAGTACTTTTCTGATATTATATTATTAAGGAGAATGTCTGAATGGTGAAACCCAACTTTACCTTAATTTCTAAATTTACTGTCATCTAAAAAGGAATGATTAAATAATACAATCTTAAATATGATTTTCTATGTAAAGTATAAAGTAGTGTATTTTTTTTGGATGTGTATAAATATATTTGAAAATATTATTCAAAAGCAATAACTTTAGCCCCAATTATTAAAAGAAAAAGTTTTGAAAGTAACAATAGTGTATATCTATTTCTATATATTTAGACCAATCTCTTAAGGAACAGTGCAAATTATGCATACAGTTGAAGTCAGAATTATTCGCCCCCCTTTGATTTTTTTTTTTCTCTTTTTATTATTTCCCAAATGATGTTTAACAGAGCAAGGAAATTTTCACAGTATGTCTGATAATATTTTTTCTTCTGGAGAAAGTCTTATTTGTTTTATTTAGGCTAGAATAAAAGCAGTTTTACCTTTTTTAAAATATTTTAAAATTATTAGCCTTTTTAAGCTGTATTGTTTTTCGATAGTCTACAGAACAAACCATCATTATATAATAACTTTCCTAATTACCCTAACCTGCCTAGTTAACCTAATTAACCTAGTTAAGCCTTTAAATGTCACTTTAAGCTGTATAAAAGTGTCTTGAAAAATATATTGTCAAATATTATTTACTGTCATCATGGCAAAGATAAAATAAATCAGTTATTAGAGATGAGTTATTAAAACTATTATGATTAGAAATGTGTTGAAAAAAATCTCTCTGTTAAACAGAAATTGGGGGAAATAAACAGGGGGGCTAATAATTCAGGGAAGCTAATAATTCTGACTTTAACTGTATATATAACTTTCAAGCAGATCAGATCTGTCAATTCCACACTATTATTATAATCACATGTCATCTTTTCTTCTCTTGCAGTGTCACGAGACCAGATCGGTGGATCTGAACAGAAAACGAGCCCGAGAGATTTTACGCGAGAAACTTGAAGTGGCGTATAAGGGTGAGGAGAGTGAACTGCTGAAAATGAAAAAGGAATCCATGCAAAAGAAACAGGACAAGCGGAGAAAAGTCAACGAAAACATCGAGAAGAAAAGACGATTCAAGGAGATGCTCAACTCAAAGCAAGAAGATGACAAATCCACATGATTTCTAATATCTTTTATTAGTTATGAACTATATACAGAAGCACTTCAGCATTGTGTATATCATAGGTCTTAAACTGGATTCCTGGAGGGCCGCAGCTCTGCACAGTTTGCTCCAACTCTAATCAAACCCAGCTGATCCAACTGTTCAAGGTGTTCAAGACTGTTAAGCAGGTGTGGGTTGGAGGTGGTTGGAGATAAACTATGCAGATCTGCGGCTCTCCAGGAATTGAGTTTTACACCATTGGTGTTGATTATGAAACTGTGGATGAACGCAGTGCTTGGGACAGTGTTTTATGAACTAAACAAACTGCCAAACGAGAAAACATTCAAGCTTGTGAATAAATGTGTCTTGATGAATTGAAAACTCAAGCCTCTGAAAGATGGGCAGTAGTTTGCTGTTTGAAGTATTAAAAAATATGCGAAAATCACCTAAAGGCTAGTTTATATATTCGTGTTTCAGCATAACAAGCTATAATAAATCATTATTTGTGTTCATCTGTGGGACCTCAATCTATCACCAGTCACATTGGGTACGCTTACATGGACACCAATAATCAGATTTTAATGCAATTATAACAATACTCTGATTAAGAGTCGACCATTTAAACAGAATTTTTTTATTAATTTAATCAGATTAAGGTCATAATCCAACTAAAGAGAAATGGGATTAAGACATGTGGAGTATGCTGATTTTAGTCGCATTATTGAAGTGCAGTACAGACATGTAAACAGCAATCAAACTATTACTATCATGTAGGACTTTTCGCTGCGTTTTGCAACTGGATAATCCATACACACGGCTGTTTGACACTATTCTCTGCACCTACCGAGTCAGTGAAGACCACAGACATACACCATTAACTGCGGAGGTTTTTTCTCCCATATAGCGTGCGGTATCAAAATCCATTATAACAACACTCTTCCAGCAGTTCATAGTTGCATCCAATATCTCGTTTGTCATGGGGGCATGCATGAAATGTTTACAATTGAAAGTGAAAGTGCCAAACTGCAGTTAAAGTCGACAGATTACAAACAAAACACCCGAAATTACATGAAAACGTGAATGGTGTGGTGATGCAATGACGTTAATTGAATTATGTGCTATAACATGTAAAACGGGATCATGAAAGGAACATTCATTAATGTCTTAATTAGATTAAGGCAAATAATTTCATCACTGGTGTCCATGTAAACATAGTCAGTAATTTTACCAAGGTGGGTTAAACGTAGGGCTGCACAATATATGGTTTCAGCATCGATATCGCGATGTGATCATTCACAATAGTCACATCACAGGATATGCAGTGTTGGGTTTGTATTATAATCAGTGCTTAATTTGAGGAGGATCTTACTGGATCCTCTTCTGGGAAATGTCAGATATTTGTGTTCCGGTATTAATTTTGATTGATTTGGCATTAACATTTGCGTTGTGAATATCTGCACATGTCTTTGTGTGTGTGTGTGTGTGTGTGCGCGTGAGAGAGAGAATGAGTCCTAGTGAAAAACACTAAGCAAAGTTGTGTGCATTGTGTACACATGCGCACACACATAAAGATAGTCACTTTCGTTTTTTATCAGCTTTCTAACGTTTACAATTACACTAGTTGGTGATTACTGTTTGGCATAGTAGCCAACCTAAATAATATTTGTGTTTTCAAAATGCCAGAGACTATATATATATATATATATATATATATATATATATATATATATATATATATATATATATATATATATTGAAACCATAAGTACATCTGACAATGAACAAGAAAAGATGAAGCTGCGCCCCTGGATCAGGATAGCAGGAGACTGAAGCAAAGCGATCCCAAGTCAGCCAGAAAACAACGGAAGAGGTGAGTGTGGGCTCTTGAGGATTAGACAGAGTAAGTCATTTTCGCTTGGCACATAATAGTGAAGTGAACTGAATGTCAGTGGTGTAAACAATCTGAATAGTGATGTTTCATACGATTTATGTTTGTACACTGTAAAACCCGACAGTCAACTTGATCGATAAGTAACTCAAAATTGACTGAAAGATATTTCTACTCATTTGAAAAGAGTTTAACTCAGTGTTGAAGGTAAAGAGTTAATTTAATACCTCATTACTTCAACTTAAATGGAGTAAGTTCTCAGTACTCATATAGAATGAGTTTTTGGGTTTGAGTTCTCTTCATTTATTGGGTTTCACTGTGCTCAAATTGCTTTATTTACTTAAATGGAGTAAGTTCACAATACTCTTATAGATTAGTGTTTGAACTTAATTGATTGTTGCAATCAGTTTCCTTAAATGGTTTGAGTTACCTTGACTTTTTGGGTTTTACAGTGTAACTACATGCTTGTTTTTTTATCCATGGTTGACCTATAACGTTATATTGCACAAAATAATTAAAGACTGTTCAGAAATTTCGCTATAACCACTTCATGTCGGAATTTCATGTCGGAAGTACGTCACGAAGCACGCGTGCATTAAACCAATCACAAGCCTCCTCTCCAGGAGTCTGACCAATGAACGCTACGATTGATTTTTAAAACCCCAAGCAGCCGCAGTTCTGCAACTCTACATGTCTTTCTGATTGTTGTTGGAAATCTTCTCCAATATGGGAAAAGGTAAAACAATTACAAACGTTATTAGCACACAACTTTAAGCTAACGTTAGCGAACTATTTTAGTTTGCGGGAAAACGATTATATGTGTTGTTCTGATGTTTATTGACGAGAACATGCTGCAGATGTTATAAATTACCGTTATATTCGAGTTTTTCGCAGTGAATGTAGTGTTTTGATAATGAAAACACTTGATTGCAGCATTATTCACGTAATATTTTGATAAATATGTATTTCTAATGTACAAATTAGGTAAAAAGTCCAGTTCTGCCAAACGGAGACCTGCAGACATCAACGTGATGGAGAAAACTGACAAAGAAGCCAAAGAGAACAAGCAAGTCAAGCCCACGGTAGGTGAAATGATCTGTATTATTTCATATGTTTACTCTGTATGTTGTTGTCTCAAGAGCGTCATATTGAGGTAAAGTTACGTGTTTTTGTATTCATACATTCAGACTTTCAACTTTAATATAATTTCACTACAGCATTCTTTGCAAATTCTGAATACTCAAATCATATTAGCAGCGAATGACTAAAGTTGTTTACAGTCAGATAAATATGTCGTTTTCAAGTCATATTTGTATGTGATTTCAGACTGAATATTCAAAGTACCATAAACAATTTAGCCAGGCACAAGTTGTAATTGAACGAATATGTGAATATAACATTAACTTTACCTTAAAATGCTTCATCAGTGCAAAAATACTTCCTCAATTTCTTAAACTTGTTCTCATGTGTTACTTCTCATCATACTGTAATTGTATGTACTTGTATTCCAATCTCTACAGATTACTTGCTGATTTATATTGTACTTTTTTTTTTTCTAAATAAAAGTAAAAACAGAAATAAATAAATACTTAAGACAAAATATTGCATTGTTTGTTACAGACAGGTCAAGGACAGCCAACAATAGAAAGTTGTCTGAATCTAAAGAAACCGATCCGGAATAAACCACTTTCCCCTGTTTTAGATGACAATTCTGCAAAAAAGACGAACAAACAAAGTGAAGGTATGGTATTGCTTTTATGTAATCTGCAAAAAAGGCTTTTCTTAGTCGTTTTCTAGTCCAAATAGCAAAAAAAGTTAAGTTATAAAAAGATTTGTTTAAAGTAAAAATTAAGCAAAATCTTTTATTTTTTTATTCAATTAAATTTAAATTTAAATTAATTTGCTTTTTACAGGGAAAAACTCACCTATTTTTCACTTATTTCCTAAAACGAAACAATATATGTACTAGTCTATAAATGCTACTTGATTTTAAGAATTTGTAGATATTTAAAACAAGACACGGATACACATAATTGCAATTTTTTTTTTTAACAATTCTGCTAAAAAGATGTGCAGTCAAAGTAAAGGTATTACTTTTATTAAGTTAACTTGGAGCGTTTGTCTTTTTTCAAATATCAACAAATTCTTAAGTCAAATATATATATTCAGACTTTCAACTTTAATATAAATAAATGTATAAATATATAAATATATATATATATATATATATATATATATATATATATATATATATATATAAATAAATAAATAAATAAATAAATAAATAAATAAAATTTTTTTTTTTTTTTTTTTTAAAGTAAAAATATTGTTTTGTTAAAAAATAATTAATTAATTCAGTTTTTTTCTTTTCTTTAAAAAAATACTAAATAATTTGCCAATGGGGTAAGTGAAAATCTTGTTTCTGGGTTTAAGTAGGATTATTTTATTTTTCACGTTGGCAGATTATTTAGCTTGTTTTATAGGAAAATCCACTTAATTTTGACTTATTTCTTAAAACAATACAATATTTTTACTTGTCTAAATGCATTTTAATTTAAGTATTTGTAGATATTTGGACTAAAAACAAGACCAATAACTCTACGTAAGTAAAGCCTTTTTTGTATTGAATTACTTTTTCCAAATATGCTTTTGCTTGATGCTTCTGCCTTTATTTCTCTAGCCAAAGATGCGGATGAGCTGAATGTTTCTAAACAAGAGGAGCCTGTAGAGCAGATCATCATCTGTGGACATAATGAACAGACTGCTGTACCTCATAAAGCCTCTGAGACGAGGAAACAAACTAAATCTGGCCAAAGAACGAACAGGGAAAAGTCAACAGACAGAAAGTATGGCTTGCCTAATAAATATATGCACTCTTTAACCATTTATCAATATTTGTGTGTGAGAGCTTGAAGTTTATTTAAAAAATCAAAGGACTTCTTTTTTTATCTGGGTATTTCATTTTATTTTTATTTTCATTTTATTGTGTATTTAGCGCTTTGAGTTTGAGAAAAGCGCAATATAAATAAAATGTATTATTATTATTATTTATTGTTATTATTTTATTTATTTATTTTTTTTAGGCTGAAAAGCAAAGAGTCTCTCCCCAATCACAAGGTCACAGATTATTTTCCTGTACGGCGAAGTTGTAGGAAAAGCAAAGCCGAGTTGAAGGTTAGTAAATTATTCAGACGTCTGTTTTTAATCTTTAAGTTGTATATATTTTTTTGTTTATTTATTAGTTTTCCACTAAATGGTAATTGATGGTCTCTCTGGAACTCATCTGGGTAAATGTAGGCTTTAAACTGTTTACCTTTTCTTCTGTATTAGCAATATATTAAAAGAAACTAGAAAATTAATAAAATAATAACAATTAGTTTTGCTATAAAATGAGCTCCATTAGCCTGGGCCACACACATATGCAGCATAATAAGCAGTTTTTCTTGAGTAACATTAAATTCTGGACCTCTATTGTTACTTTTATTTCATTGACTAGGTTTCCATCCACCTATTGTTATGCGAATTTGGATATGTGCATTAAACAACAGTCGATGGAAATGCCAGGATGCACATACATTTTGAAAATGTATATAAAAACATATGCGCATCATAACCGAGTAGGATATACTTTTTATTCAATAAGAAAAGATGCACACACTGCAAAAAATGCTTGTCTTGCTTAGATTTTTTTTGTCTTGTTTTTAGTTCAAATATTTAAAATTTCTTATATCAAGAAGCATTTTCTAGACAAACAAAACACATTGTCTTGTTTTGAGAAATAATATGCCTCTATTAAGTGAGTTTTTTCCTTAAAACAAGCAAAATAATCTGCCAATGGGGTAAGCAAAATAATCTTGTTTGTTCTTTTGACGTAAGATTATTTTGCTTACCCCATTGGCAGATTATTTTGCTTGTTTTAAGGAAAAAACTCAATAGTGGCATATTATTTCTCAAAACAAGACAATATGTTTTTCTTGTGTTAAATTCTTCTTGGTTTAGGAATTTTTAGATATTTGTACTAGAAACAAGACAAAAAAAATCTAAGTAAGAAAAGCATTTTTTGCAGTGCATAAACTACGATGGAAACTATTTTTCCGAACAAATTCCACTGTGCATTAAAAAGTCATGTGATTTTGTTATCAGAAATCATGTGATGATAAAAATGTGTGTAAATGGACAAGCCAGCAGGCTGAACGCACTGTAAAACATATGAAATGTTGATTTGGTCACTCTAAAACTAGTATTAGTGTTGTTATATTATCAATTACCTCCAGAACTGTCGAGATCATCTTGCTCCTTCAAACGCCACCACAGGATCATTGCGTGTCTGAATCGTCTTCTGAAGCGCAAGTCTTTTATTAAAGAAAGAAAAGACTGACGCAGCTTCTCCTACCACAGCAAAATACAGTTTTTATTTTTTATATTTGGCTCCAGTTAATCAGGAAATTACGATTTTGTTCTCTTTGACTTGTTGGATGTAAACGCTGCTTTATTGGCATGTCTTTTATGCGATTTCAGTTATGCGCATAAATTAAATTTGCATCTTTGGATGGAAACTACTATGAAATTTTAGGGTTACGCTTTGTTTTAAATTTTTATTATTATATTATTTTTTTAAGACTGTGTATTGTTTCCAAAAGTGCTGACTGAATATGCATTTACCAGTGTCAAACTACGTTTTTCCACCATCAAGAGCTAAATTCAAGCATGTTGTTTTTAAACCAGTGTGAAAAGCAGCGGCACATTGAAGATCTCATCAAAAACAATGTGGAAGAGGGACTGAAGGTGAGCTTTTTAACATCAGCTTATGTTTATCTTCTACTTGCCATCCTTTGGCTTTACCATTTATATGGCACTCATTGAAATGCTTATTATGTCCCTTTTTACATGATCTAACATTAGTCTCGGACATCTCTAGAGTGTGTGTGTGATGTTTCAGCTCAAAATACCACACAGATAATGTTTACTAACACTCTAAAACTGCCCCTTTTGGGCTCTGATCCTAATTGTGCCATTTTGGCGACTGTCGCTTTAAATTTAAATTAGATTGTGCTCTTTTTCTGAAGAGGGCGGAGCTATAAATGCCTCTGCTTCAGTGAGATGACGTGTACTAAGTGAGAATGTGAATCAAAGTGTTACTGCAGACTGTTTTATCAAGTCAGATTATAAAAATATAGAATTAATACATGTTTACCATTAGAAGCTGCTTATATTCACATACTTCTGCCACATAACCCCTTATAAAACTGATTTTGGCATAATAGGTCCCCTTTAATTATTTAAGTGGCCATATATGGTTCCTCACACATCAAATGATTAAGCGTCTGCTGTTTGCATTTTCAGGTAAAGTGCATTGATGGTAAAGGAAGAGGAGTTTTTGCGGATCGAGCGTTTCAGAAGGATCAGTTTGTGGTGGAGTATCATGGGGATCTGATCGAGATTGCTGACGCTAAAGCCAGAGAATCGGAGTACGCTCAAGACCCCTCGACAGGCTGCTATATGTACTACTTCCGCTACCACGACAGAACCTACTGGTGAGTTGATTCCAGTGTCTGCTTCTGGGTTCATCATTTTCATTATGCTTGATTGCAAGATTTTACATTGCAGCGTTAAGAGTAGAGCTTAACTTTAGTTTTTAATCAGTCTGGCCGTTCTCCTCTGGCATCAACAAGGCATTTGTGGCAACAGAACTGCCGCTCACTGGATATTTTCTCTTTGTCGGACCATTCTCTGTAAACCCTAGAGATGGTTGTGCATGAAAATCCCAGTAGATCAGCAGTTTCTGAAATACTCAGACCAGCCCGTCGGGCACCAACAACCATGCCACGTACAGAATCCCTTAAATCCCTTTTCTTCCCCGTTCTGATGCTCAGTTTGAACTGCAGCAGGTCACCTTGACCATGTCTACATGCCTAAATGCATTAAGTTGCTGCCATGTGATTGGCTGATAAGAAATTTGTTGACCGGTGTACCTAATAAAGTGGCCGGTGAGTGTATACAGCACAATCTTTAATCCAAAACCCAACTGCTAACTTTTAATAGTTGAGAATTGTACTTTAAAATAAAGGGTGACTAGGCTTACCAATTTTCAAGGTTACTAAGGGTGCTGGAAAATCCATGAAAATGCTTGAATTTTAGTCTGATTTGGTATAAAAAGTGCTTTGAAATGCTTACATTTTAAAGTGTTTTGCTATCATTTATCTTACTAATAATAAACTGTTTAAATATATTATGTATTAGTTTTTGTTTTTTTTGTTTGCTTTTGCATAAACAACTTAAACGAAACATCCATAAATGACCAACTCAACTTTGAGCTTTGGGCAAACATGCCTTACATTAGCCGCGTTTCCACAATCGCGCCTAAAGCGAGTGAGCAAAGGCCAGTCGCGTTTTTACTGTCACTTTCGGGGCCTAATCAGGCCAAATCGGGGCTTTCTTGGGGCCAGCGGCTGCCCTTTTTCGGCCTGCTGAATACCTTGGGCCAAAGAGGGCCAGCCGGGGTGGAGTGCAAGGAGAGACAGGCACAGTTTTCCGATCGCACACGAGTACATGCGCCAAAAAAAATAAATAAGGGAAAGAAAACATCTAGCCTTATGGGGCCTTTTTGCGTATGATCGCCCTTATGTTTCCCTTTTAAATGTTGTATAAAATAAAGTAGTTTTAATTTATAAGTGACTGCTGCGTCCTCCTTGATGTTTCAATAACGCATAATAATCTTTACACCATATTAAAGACGCAGCAGACAGTAAAGGTTTTCGAGAGTTTTTGTCAAGTTTAAAAGGTGTGTTTGTGCGCGTTTAGATGCCTGTATGTGTGTGTGAGACCGAAGGAAAGAGCACTCCCTTCACAGCTCTGTTGATGCCACGAGTGGCTTTTTTCAAATTTTTGTTTTTATTTATTTCGGTGATAATACACTATATGAATACAACAGAAAGACATTAAACTTTACAAATTTCGTGTCCACTTTTGTAGGCTCAAAACAATAGTGTCATATCTAGATAAAATAGCCCTATATTGAAATAATTTCAAGAATTACAAATATCGGATATAATAAAATCACATTAAATAAATAAACCAATATAAAACTAACAAAAGCTAGCTATAACCGTTTTAAAGCCATATAACTTTCATTATTCAAAAGCCTGCTGAAACATTTAACACTTTCCTTTTATAATAAGCAACATCTTTAAATAAAGGGAATCACCCATTAAGTGTCATAAAGCCTGCAGGGAAAAATTCATGTTTCAGTTCTCTCCGGAGCATTTGGGCTGAATGTTAGACAGCGTTTGTCTAATTGAGGATGTTATAAAATACATTTTATATGGAGTTATTAACTGAGAATTTTATATATGTGGTTTTATATTATGGATGTGTGCGCTCCCTGCACTGGGTCCCTCCGTTAGTGGCAGGACCACTGGATTTCGATGCCAACAGTCGGTCGGCGAGTAAATGAATATGATGAATGAGAACACACAGGCATGTGCGTATAGACATACATTGTACTGCTGTACAGTGACGTGTCATTTGTTTGTTTTGGTTGTCCTAATAGTGATGATGCGGTGTGCTTTATCTGCCTGATTCCCGCTGAAGTGGGCGGATTGAGTGACGTTCGATTCGGGGGATGTTCTGGGGGCGGGGTTTGCGTGACGCGCTGAGAGCTACTAGCCCGACAGTGGAAACGCCACATGACTTTGGCCTCACTGCTCAACCTCCCGGGCGATTGGCCTGGCCCAATAAAAGCCCTGGCTCACACTGGCCCAATAGTGGAAATGCGGCTATATTTCTCTTGGAATATTATACTATTGAATATTACAACTAATACCCTCTGATAAAATATTATGGTGCATGCATATTTATATAAGTTGACACACTTGTAAAGTGACCACTTTGAAAATGAATCTGGAAAGGGTCAACTTTGGAAAAGATGTTAGAAAGAACTCTGCGTTTTTCTGCATACTTTCTAGTGTGGACGCTACCAAGGAAACGGAGCGACTGGGCCGACTGATCAACCACAGCAAGAACGGTAACCTTCAGACCAAACTGCATGAGATCGACGGCACACCTCACCTGATCTTCCTGGCGTCCAGAGACATCCGAGCTGACGAGGAGCTGCTGTACGACTATGGAGACCGCAGTAAAGAAGCCATCGCCGCTCATCCATGGCTCAAACACTGATTCACTGTCTCACACACACTGTGCGCTGACCTGCTGTAAGTCTGCTCAGACCAATGCTACTACAACATAAGAGTCAGAGATGTGAGAATCTGAGAACTAGTCGATTATTGGGATCTGTTTACGTGTGCTGATGTTGTTGCAAACCTTTCATTTTAAACTTAAAGGTGTACATTTAGAATGATATTCGGTGAGCAGATATTGAGTATTCATTCAGCAATTCATTTTAATGAGAGCTTATTCAGAGTAGAATGCTGTGTAACCCTATGGGATGTGAATTTTCAGGTGGGTGCTGTTACTGTACATTTGTATATGCAAAATGAACACAATTATAGCAGAGTGTTTTAAACCAAATGATTTCAATTATTTTATTTGTCTTTTATTTCTAAACTTGAGGATCATTAAAGCACTAGATGAGCAGTATATTTGCTTTTAGTTCATGGTGTGCAGAAGTGTTCAGCTGTAAATACGGTTTGTATATTGGTGTCATTTTAGGGGGTTTATTTTAATAAAGCATCCGGCCCTCTTATGAAATAAAGACGCTCTTATTCTGACGAAACCCTGAATCCGCAATATAAAACAAAGATAATGGCAGAGTTGGGCTGCACAAAATATCGTTTTGGCATTGATCTCGTAATATGCATAAAGTCACATCGGCTCAATTTCAAGTTGGGATTATGCTTAACCAAGTACCATTAAACCATTATTCGTGGAGCCGTTGCAAAATTAAATTCGATAATTAAAATATTCAATGATATGATTCATTCAAAAATATGAAAGATTTTCATTTAGAAGTGTCGTGCCACGGTCACACTAGAGTTAAATGTGAAAATCTGTTGTATGGTGCTGCGAAAAGGGGCGGGATTAAACCAATTGATTGGATGTTATCTTTTTAAAAAGCAAGCGATTGGTGCATATTTGACATTTCTGTACAGAAAGGTCATGTTTTGATCTTTGATTGGTCATGCAACCACGTGATTCAGGTCAGAATTCACCAAGCTTGCACTTTGCAATGCGGCAAACTACGAAACTTGTCGCATGAGCATGCGTTTCCAGTCTGCTGCATTCGCAATGCGTATTAATGGAAGTCTATGGGGAGAGAAGTACAGTGTGCCTGCAGCTCAGGACTGTGAGATCTAAACTATTTGGGGGCGAGAAATTATTAAATTGACCACTTTAAGAAAAGATTGTGTTTGTTTAATGCAATTAAGACTTTGCAGCGTTATTTTACATTCGATTATTGAATTTCTACTAGTTCGATACAGTTCGACTCAAACAAATCCCATGAGGTGTTGTTTCTTTAACTTATCCGTGTTGTCTTTTTATTTGTTTTATTTTGCATAATTAACTTACTTTTTTTTTACGTTTAAGCAGATGAACTCTTGTGCAAACATTTTAATCATTATTAAATTAGGAATTGTTTCCCAATAGGGTTATTTTGTGCAATTATATTATAATCACCAATTTTTTTCAGTAAAACTAAATATTGCAATGTCAGGGTTTCCCCCATGCTTTTGTGCAGCCCATCTGGAACACCAGTTAAAACTCAATGTTAATATAGACTAGCAAAAAAGGGATAAATTAGGAACATATTCAGGTTGACAGGCATTACTATACTGTGATGAAACGAAGAAATTAATATGTGATGTATAGATGTTTATAGGAAATATAATATTTGCTGAATATTTGTTCTGTGGCTCTGTGGTTAGCACTGTTGCCTCACAGCAAGGTCACTGGTTCGAGTCCCAGCTGGTTCAGTTGGCATATCTGTGTGGAGTTTGCACACAGGTGTTGGCATAGGGTTGCAGCTGGACGTGGATCCGCTGTGTAAAACATATGCTGGAATAGTTGGTGGTTCATTCCGCTGTGGCGACCCCTGATAAATAAAAGGACTAAGCTGAAGGAGAATGAATATTAGTGGACTATACTGGATTTTTATTGCATTCGGTTAAATGTAATACATCTGACAAAGAACAATCAAACCAGTTTGATCCAAGAAGAAAAAAATAAAAGAATATTAAAAACATTTGTATTAAAAATGGCAAAATTGAGAAAAGCATGTTGAAATTTGGAGATTATTGAATTCCATTTTTAACTACCATTTAGGAAATGAAAGACTGTGCCAGATATACTTTTGATTTAGTCATTTAAATATATTTAACAAATGTGGTCAACTTTAGTCAACCCACGTAAATCACTTTCTAAATGTCCTGCATTGCAGAAACGTGGACAAGCTGTCATACATTCAGCCAGTAGTGATATATCGACAGCAGGAAAATCTGAATTTGTACATTCATATGATTTTCAAAACACCACATGTCATATAATAGATTTAGTGTGCTACACATTGCTGCCTACAGCATTGGATTTTAGTAGAAATACCTCTTTATTTTCACTCTAGCATCCCTAATACTCAGCATGATTTTGCCAAATACGATGCGATCCTGGATTAACATATATGGTCTACATAATTTTTGTTGGAAAATGTAACCCATACCTGTTCCCTACCCCTAAACCCAACCATAATGGCAAATTATCAGAATCAGAGGGGAATAATAGATAACAACCATGTTGAAGTGCATAAACCGAACCATAAACAGTAAATGTATATCCTTAATTCCGATTGGCTGATAGAAGTGTTGTTCCAGGATCATTATACAAGTTAATCCAAGAACATGTCCTGCTTGGTGGAATCAGGTTGGTGCTTCCCTAATGATCCCACGTTTATTATAACTGGGACTAGAGATTGAAAGCAAAAGCTTGTCAACAGTTGCATAATAAAGATGGAAAGATCCCAAAAGTCATGTGGTGCACAGAGACTCGATGCATGAAATCCAGTTCACTTAGTTTAGTACTGTCTCAATTAGTCCCAAAATATGTATTTTCATATAACATGACTGAGTTAAAACTGATTCTAGTATTGTCATACAATATTAGCACGGTAAATAAATACTGTATTAGAATATTTAAAGTGTTGTGATGATAATACAAAAGCATAGTAAGGCTCTAAAAGCCTCTAAGATGGTCATTTATATAAGGCTTAATACTAGATGAAAGTAAAGACAGCCACACGGTTAAAATCTACCCATTTAAATCCAGCAGTTGGGTATTTCCAGTCAGAAATGGGTCAGTACTGTTAAAACAAAGAACAGATGACATCTTCCCGTCTCTCCTCACTCAGTTCCTTCACTTGCTTCTGATTGGTTTGGTTTATATTGAATCCTTTTTTGCAGACGTATCATTTCTGTCGAAACGAGAACCTGAAAAAGAGAGAGAGAGAGAGAGTTAGTTTACAAGTGCTGAAACTTGGTTTATATAAAAAGCTGCGTATTGCATTAACTTGACGTTGGGTCAAATATGGACAGTTGGGACAATTCAAATTTCATTAAAAATAACAACAACCCAAGAGTCAACTAATAGACTTTTTTTTGTGTTTGATTGTTGTAAATAATAATAAGGATGTTATTATTAAAATTTAAATTAGCCAAAGAGTTGAGTTTGTCCATATTTGACCAATCAGAGAAGAGTAGGCACATAAAAAGGCGGGGCTTAGCGAAGCCAGATCTTTGAACCAACTGATTTGAGATACTAAGAAAACAACTGATGCCGCAATGGATATTATAATCAAATTAAAAATGGGTTTTAATTTGTTTGTTTGTTTGTTTTTAACCTGAAATGAATGTAAACAATGTTAACAGCGGGGTTGAGCAACATTTCAAATGGACAATTTAAAACATTTCCAGGGTGTCCGCTGGGTCTTATAAAGTCTTCAATGTCAAAAACAAAATGTTAGGCCTTAAACTGTTAACTTGAATCATTTTTCACAGCCCTTTGTCCAAGTAAAGCTACTCAGTCAGGCAAACATCCATCCAATGACCAACAATAAATCCCAATAACATTATTTAAATTTTTTTTTTGTTGCAAAGAGATACAATTCACAGCTTTTCGACATTACAGCAAATTCCCCAAATTAATTTCCCTATTCAGGGGGAAAAAAACTAAAAACAATTACATCTAAAGTCTAAATGTCATTCTTACTGGTCTTAAAAGGGCCTTAAAATATATTAAATGGGACTTGATGAAACTTGTAGAAACCCTGATTTCCATCCCCAGGCCTGTTATCATGATGTATCAAATGACTAAATATATGGAGCACTTTAATCTGTTCACTTAATGACAATGATCACATAATCCTCCAAGTGATGATGAAAAACCTGGCTAATGGACGGCTGCTTCTCACTCAGGGCTGTTCATGCTAATGAGGGAGAGATGGGCACCAATGGGCGGGGCTTTCCCCCTCTGACGACACGTACAAAAGGGAGAATGTCAATCAAAGTGTTTCTGCAGACTGTTAATATCAAGTGTGATTATAAACATATAGAATTAAATGAATTTTTACCACTAGAAGCTGACTATATTCACGTAATGTTGCCCCACAACTGCATTTAACCCCCTTATAAAAGTGATTTTTGCAAAATAGGTTCTTTTTAATACATAACATTATTTTTTAAGAGTGAAATATTATTGTGCATAATATCCTCTTGTTACGGTCATCTCTGGATGCTCATGCAGTGTGTTTCCCTGTGAAGCATGTCTCTGTTAAACTGCCTTGAAAAGATATGAATCATAAAACCGTTATACAAATGAATGTGACTGAGACAAATGTACAACTCGAGATTGAAGAGCAAAGTTCAAACCTGCTTCATCATCCCACAACTCACGTGAGTCTTCAATAAATGAAAACTGCATGAGAATATGGCAGGATTACAGGCATCCACCCCAGCCTTACAATACTGCCATACATGCATTAAATAAAACACATATCAATTTAATCTAGTTATGTATTTATTTATTTATATAGAAAATCTGCAGATCAGAATGAAGAACTGAGTGAACTTGGTGACTGTAGTAATGGCTGCCTTAAAATCAGCTGTACATCTCAAGAATATACTTTTAAAAACTGATAATAAATCCTAATGGTATTTCTCAATTGTATATGTATCTATTAATGCAGCATTTGTAAACAAAAGAGACACAAACTAATTAATTAAATTTAAATACTCTCAACTTTTGGCCAACAGTGTATCGACCGGCGCTTTAATTAACTTACTCATGTTAAAAATTATAAGTTAATAATGTCATTATTTAAAATCTGAACCAAAACTTGAAGGTAAAATGAAAACGGTTATTAACTTTCAATCTTTTACTAAATTTATTTCTTTTGTTGAACACAAAGGAAAATATTTCCAAGAATGCTCAAAGAAAACGGCCATTAACTTTATTTATTTGTTTTTGGTTCCTATTATGGACGTCAAAAGCTACCTTTTCCCCAACATTCTTCAAAATGTCTTATTTTGTGTTCAACAGAAGAAATAAAAAATAATGACATTTCATTTTTGAGTGTACTATCCCTTTAAGATTACAATCTACACTACCTGGTAAGGGTCTTGTGTTCTAGTTATTAATTTGAAAATATGTCAGAAGGTCAATTTCTCCAATGAATCATCTGTTGAGCTGCATCCCAATCATCCCCCCCAATACTGCAGAAGACCTACTGGA